GCTTGGTGCGGTCCGCGCTGCACTGCTGCGCCCCGCTCCGCGGCCGCGACCAACGCTCTGCTTCTCTCTGCCGCAGCCGTCAGCCCTTCCTCTGTTGGTGTTGGGAGAGCCACCTGCAGCCCTGTAAGGACCCCTCCTTTTTTCAGAACACCTTGTCTTTCAAGCTGGCAGCCAATACCCGGTTGCTTCCCTCAGTTTGCTGTATGCCTTGCTCTCCAATGTCAGGATGCATTGACTCCTGTGTTTCATTGAGCTTTGTGATTGCAGTTGTTACTGATTTCAATCCATAGGAGCAGCACTGGTGGCACCGGCCGTGGCTGCTCAGGCGCCCCTGTGCCAGCTGCAAATGCGCATGTGGTTCATGTAAACATCTCCAGTGGCACACACAAGGGGTTCAGAGCTCTGCAAACAGATCGCTGCGTGATCAGATTATGGAGTCAAATTCAGGGCCGAATTATATGCAATGCAGGCAGTGCGTTGCATCCGGGCAGGCAGCGCCCCGCCCGCAGGCCGACCCACAACACCTGAGGCGCTAGCCAACCTTCTGTCACCTTCAAAATCCCATTGAAATATCCCCGCATCTACGCCAGCATCTCCGCCCCCAGCCTAGATTGTGCCCCACCCTCCACCGCCTCCACTTGTCCGCCCAGCTGCCAGTCCTGGCCCCTCCCAGCACCCCCCCCTCCCTGGCTCGTGCCGCCCCCTGGTACCTGCCCCGCTAGCCACCTCGCCCGCAGGCCAGCCCCACCACGCCATCTCGGCCGCCGGCCTCGAGGTCCCAGTCCCCGACCACGCCGCCCGCCCACAGCCTGAATCCCCGCCACCCAGCCCCCAGCCAGCCCCCAGCCCCCAAGCGGGCCAGCCAGGGCGGCGCCTCCAGCCGCCCCGCCTCGAGCAATCAGCGCGCCTCCAGCAAACAGTGCGCCCCCGCTACCCGCGCGCCTCCAGCGCGCAGCGCGCCACAGTGGTGATGCGGTCCAGCACCTTGGCGGTCGCGTACACGCAGCCCGTGTAGCGCAGGTGGCCCGGAAGGTGCCAGGCAGCTGCCTGTGCGTCCATGTGGGCGGCGTAGAGGGCGTCGTCTGTGGCGACCGCCGCGTGCATCAGCTGGCGCAGGTCGCGGCCGCGCTCAAAGTATTCGTAGCGGCTGTGCTGGACGTCCTGGATCTGGAGGGTGTGTGTGTGTGTGGGTGGGTGATTGCTGTGTGTATGGGTGAGTTGTGTGTGTGTGAGTGTCAGAGTGTGTGTGTGTGTGTGTGCGTGCGTGTCAGAGAGTGTGTGTGTGTGCGTGTCAGTGTGTGTGTGTGTGTGTGTGTGTGTGTGTGTGTGAGTGTCAGAGAGAGTGTGTGTGTGAGTGTCACAGAGTGTGTGTGTGTGTGCGTGTCAGAGAGTGAGAATGTGCATATGTAGGTGGGTGAGAGCGTGTGGTTGGGTGTGGGTGCCAGCCCAGCAGGGGGCCGGCCCCGCTAAAGCCAGGCCCTCTGATTGTGAGCTGACGAGCTGCTCTGGCCCACAGCACAACTTCGCACAGTCACGCTCGTCCATGCGAGCATGTGAATACGCACACCTGCACACACGAATGCAAGCATGTATGCACGCGCACACACACATGTATGCACGCACGCAAGCCCTAAAATGCAACAGCGTGTCAACATGCAGCGGCGCACCTTCCCCAGGAGGCGCTGTGCCGTCTCAGGGGTCGGCTGCGTCACGTGGGCCGTGGTGGCATCCGCCAGCGCTATGACCTCCAGCAGCAGCTGGCCCCACAGCTGGCGACCGGGGGGATGATGCAGGGGGGAACATGAGGCGGACGTGGTGAGCCACGCCAAGGGTTGAAATGCATCATTGTGGGACACAGAAACGAGGGCTGCGCAGACAGCAATCAGGGCTTTGCTGGCGCAGGCTGTGTGCATGCACCAGCAAAGCGCCGCCGCAGCAAGCGGGGCCCCTGCGCCGCGCACTGTGAGTTTCTGGCCGCGCCAGATCTGATGACGCGAGACCGCCGTCAGATCGCGTGCGCCCACCTGTCCCGTATTGTTGAGCGTCCAGTCCCACGAGCCGGACAGTGCCTCCACCGGCACCTTGATGGCCTGCTGCAGCGCCCCCAGGGCGTCCACCACATCAAACATGGCCGACAGCATGCGCAGCACAACCTGCGGGTAATAAAATTGAGGGGGGGATGTGACTATGTACATGTACATATACGCACACGTGCGTGTGTAGTTGTGTGTGTGTGTGTGGGGGGGGCAAGCGGGTCAAAGCCTCAAAAATGGGGTGGGACAAGCGCGTCACAACCTGCGGGTGTGTGTAGAGGTGTTTTTTTGGGGTGGGGGGGGGGGGGGGGCCCCCCGGCCTGGCAAACGCAAAGGCAGCTGAGTGTGACAGGAGCCGCAACACCGCGCCGGCGTCGCACGGACGCAGGGCCGGCGCACCGGGGGTGTTGCGAATATTCCTGTCGTCCACGCGGTGGTGTCCAGCACTAGGGACACCTTGACCTGGGGGGTGATGAGGGGTGGAGGGGGGCAGACGCAAGGGATGGCCGTGCGCTCAGCAGGAGATGGCGCTGATTCCAACAATCCAAGGAAGACACCTGGCTGGTGGTTGCATGAGTTGGGCAGGAGCCCGGCAGGAACAGGTGGAGGTGCGCGGCCTGCAGCCGTGCTTGCTGGCCCTGCTATTCGCAGGCTCTGGCGCCCCGCCGCCCCCACCTGCACCAGCGGCTTGACCAGCCGCGCCTGCAGCTCTTCAGGGCTGCTTGCCCGCGCTGCCCGCGGCGCCACCTCTGGCGCCGCTGCGTCGCCACCGTCGCCACCGCCGCCCTCCCCGCC